CACATAAAACACTACAAACTAATTACTCTCGCGTGATAATTTGTCCGAAGTACTTAGCATCCGTGGTGGTCCAAACTCCAAAGGGCAGTCTCTTGAATGGTTGAAATAGAGTTCCTCTCATTTCAAATTTCCCAGTTGACCAGCATGATGAGAGAGGGCTGAGAGGCCATTGCGTTCCTATTTGGGACATCCGCTCTAGACATGTTGATCCACCAAGACTTGATGTAGCTCTCCAAGGCCCAAGTGGAGGTATCAAGGACATCAAGGTGCAACCATTGGTTGCACAACCTCCATAACCTTACCCAGAAACAACATTTGTAAAATGTGCGGATTCATTCTTTGTTTTGCATCGGGGGCATAAGCCACCATTCGGCCACCCTCTCTTAGCAGGTCAATCCGCGTCCCAACCCTATTTTGCATGACCAACCATGCAAAGTATTTAACTTTTGGTGATGCCCGAGCCCTCCAAATCATGTTGTTCAACATTATTGTTTGGGTGCCCCCACTAGTAGAAAACAGGGCTTATTATCTAGTCACCTCAACCATTGGCTGTTCCACTTAGTCGCAGCCATTGCCATATGCTTCGCATGGACTCGTATTCTGTCCAAACATGATTGCTTGAACGCACGAGTCTGTTTGCTTTAATTAATGTGCGCAAATTTTGAAATTCTGTAGATTCATGGTGCCGAGGCATTACAAGAACATAAAACAACATCCCTTGAAGTACATAGTCAATTCCCTCATCTAGATATGCACTCCCAAAAGGCCGACAACAGAGAGAATATATTTGTTACACGATTGGTGTTGGTTGTTGGAAATTCGCCCATAGGATCGATCATATCAAAATAACACGAACGCACGCGCACATAAAACTGATAGCCAAGAGTGCGTCTCGCACCCTCTAATTCCTCTCTTTATTGCTTTTCTCCTTTTTCTCTTGATTATTACAAAACTTACGCACACTACCCATCTATATATAGGTGCAAAACCTGACTCCAAGCCACCGACCTAGACTGCAAATTCCTAATCTACACGGACACGTACTAAGAAACCTAACCGGACTAGCCATCTAACTCAGCCGTACACTACCACGGCAAGAGCCAATCTGTAGTATACTACAACTGACCGGCTAGCATACTCCAATGAAAACTCTTCTAATTAGACTAACATAATTTGGATTACCTAACATTCACCCCGTAATCCAAATATCAGACTTTTTACTTGATAAGACACGGAGACGATCGCCTCTACATCTTGTCCCGCTAGTTGTCTCGGATGACGCGACTTACCGGACCACTTCTCTCTTTTCGCAATGATGGTCACATCTTCATCGTCATCCTTTTGACTTGAACCAACAATTTTCCGGATTACCAGCCATTCTGTCACATCTTAGTGTGCTACATGCAGACTAAACGCATAGCCTCATGCATGAACTCAACTTAACTAGTGCGTCCATCTTCACGTTGATCTTCATCTTCTCATCGGTTGCTCGTGTACGGGGAGACACATCTCTTCACCCGCCACATCTCCAATCTTTTTTCATTGTCGCCGATGCCACATCTTATCGAACGACACATCATGTCTAGCGGCAACACAACTCGCCATATACGTGCAACTCATCTCCATCGTATATGAACTCGCCGGAATTCCACGACCACGAACGGAAACGCAAGGCACAAATTCCTTTTTCCGCCCGCTCTCGCTCGCAATTCTCCTCTGCCAGTGACGCATCTCAACTGCAGCAGAAAACTCACACATCTGAGCTCTTGGACGCACCTTACAAGAACTTATGTGCACAACTTTGATGACGGCTCGCAACTTCGCCATCTCCACCTTGCACCCTCCAACGATGATCTCGATGATTTCCTCGGTGTCGCAACTTCAGCACCTCCATAACCATCGAATATCACCAACGCCTTACCGACGACAGCCCTGTCGCCCTCCTCCAGGTATATAGTTCTGTCGAACGACGATCACCCGTCGCCTCGCTTGCGACAGCGTCCTCGCCGCCTTCTTGTCGCCGCTCCGCCGATCAATTGCCTGCTCCTCCACGTCGCTGCACCACCCAACAACTATGTCGCCCGCTCCTCTTCGTCGCTATGACTCTATTGCCCGCCCCGAGGCGCTAGCAGGGTCGCCACCCCGGGGCAAGTGCAGCTTCACTCGAACCTTGCTCTAGATACCAATTGTTGGAATTCGCCCACATGATCGATCACATCAAAATAACACGAACACACGCGCACACAAAACTGATAGCCAAGGGTGCGTCTCGCACCCTCTAATTCCTCTCTTTATTGCTTTTCTCCTTTTTCTCTTGATTATTACAAAACTCACGCACACTACCCATCTATATATAGGTGCAAAACCTGACTCCAAGCCACCGACCTAGACTGCAAATTTCTAATCTACACGGACACGTACTAAGAAACCTAACCGGACCAGCCATCTAACTCAGCCGTACACTACCACGGCAAGAGCCAATCTGTAGTATACTACAACTGACCGGCTAGCATACTCCAATGAAAACTCTTCTAATTAGACTAACATAATTTGGATTACCTAACATTCACCCCGTAATCCAAATATCAGACTTTTTACTCGATAAGACACACAGACGATCGCCTCTACATCTTGTCCCGCTAGTTGTCTCCGATGACGCGACTTACCGGACCACTTCTCTCTTCTCGCAATGATGGTCGCATCTTCATCGTCATCCTTTTCACGCCGACTTGTAGACTTGAACCAACGATTTCCCGGATTACCAGCCACGTTGTCACATCTTAGCGTGCTACATACAGACTCAACGCATAGCCTCATGCAGGAACTCAACTTAACTAGTGCGTCCATCTTCACGTTGATCCTCATGTCAAGTTTCTGCTGTCAAACAAAGGACATAGTCATCTTCAGACCCAGTAGTCCTAGGGTATCTGTATGTTTTAAAGTTCATGTGCGCCATGCATATAGTCTGCTGGTTGGCATGAACTTTGAGTGTAGAGAAGTTTGTTTTTCTTCTTTTTCTCGAATATGCACGAGTGCGCACATCATAGTTTAGCGAGCCCCCGATTACATCCTCACTACTCCTCACTACTCGCCCACCTCTCTAATCTACAGAGAAGGGGGTCCACATTCCCCTTAAACTTGCCGGTTACCAACCATACCATGCCTTCGGACCTCACCCTTCCTAGAAGTAATTCCTTCGAAGGAGATGCCCCGTCAAACTCGATAGCATTCCGATGGTTTCACAGTTCGCAAATCGTTAGAATGAAGATAGTGTGGGGATCCTTCCCTCTTAGGTTGTTAGGCCCTTGCATGCCACATAACCATGAGTCAAGGGAGTCTTCTGGTTTCGTCGTCCAGTCCGGCTTGCCCAAGGCCTCACAGATCACAACCCACGTCGATCTGGCAAACACACAAGTTAGTAGCACATGATTGATAGTTTCCTCCTCTTGATCGGACAGGGGGCATGCATCCTGATGCGGTAGTCCTCTCCGTGCAAGGTGATCCGAAGTCCAGCACATGTCCCGTAGTGCGAGCCAAGTAAAGAATTTGCATGTCGATGGGGCCTGAGATTCCCAAGTCAGCTCCGTCGAGGACACCACAGTTCGGCCCCAAAACCTAGCCGCATACGCCGACCTCACCGAGAAGTGGCGGTTGGCCTCCCAGGACCAAGAAACAATATCCGTCACATCCGCATCAGGCTCCCACGTGCCTACTCTCAGCCATAGCGAGAGGAATTCCTGCAGCGCATCCACCCCAAGATTTGGGCCAATGTCTGTTGCCCATGACCCATTTTCCATGGCCGGGGCAACCGTCCTCGACGATCTGATGCGCGGTGGGATCATGTCAAATATAGTTGGAGCAATCTCCTGAACCCTCATACCATCAATCCAACAATCCTTCCAAAAAAGTGTGGTGAGACCGTCAAGATAAAGCTTTACTCGTCGTTGCCGCCCGGAAAAGGTCTAGGAGGAAACAAAGTGTCACCTGTGCAAAAAATATGCATTGATTATTGCAGGAAGGACCGTCAAGATAAGGCATAAACCACCGACAAAGAAAAACAAAAGCCTAAAGTAGCAATCTACTCCCTCTGTAAACAAATATAAGAATGTTTAGATCCCTAAAATAGTGATCTAAATGCTCTTATGTTTCTTTACAGAGGGAGTAGTTTACAGGGGAACATTGTTAACTGTTAAGCCCTGAGGATTTTGGTGCACTTTGGGGCTTTTCTGGGATCGAGGAAAGATAGGGAGAGAAGTGTTAGTTAATCTAATCCTGCTCTCTTGTTATTTCTTTGCTGTAACATTTATCTTATAATATAGTGTGTAACGGAGCCGCTGGTCAGATGTCATAGACCAGGGCTAATGTGCCTGTGGTCAACGTGCTCACCCTGTTCTGCGATCTGTGTTGTAGACATGGGGTTTGGGGCGATGTCGAGGGAAAACGGTGGTGCGGCACCGGCAATGGACGATCCAATTTGTGGAACTCCCACCAGTGTCTTGACGAGGTGAGTAGCTACAGGAAATAGCAACAAGGAAGGCAAACCCACTGAAAGAGGAGCTGGAGATCACTGGTGTTTGTGTGCGCTCTGTTCTTAGCCATGCTGCCTGAGAGGTGTTTGCTTAATTGTCTTGCCGTTGTGTCTACCGGAGAATTGAGTCCTCTTGTTGTGTCCAGATATCGTGAGATGGAGAGAGACTCTCGGAGGACTACCATTTAGTACCAGATCCAGATTTGTAGGTGCAAAAAAGGGTAAAGGTGGAATTCTGACGTCCTAGGTGTTGGAGGCGGCGGCGGCGAGGAAGCAAGTGGAGAGACGCGGCTGCTGGCAACATGTGGAATAGTCTCATTGCACATACAAAGAATTAAACAAAAAATATCATTGCACTTTGATAACGGTATATATTCTAGACGCTAATTACCACAGCGTTTCAAAATTAATGATGAAAAGATGATCAAACTATGCATCTACAAAACCTCAAAAAAGAAAAAACAATATGCACCTACAACATTTTGATCAAGGGCCGATCGGATTGGATCAAGCTATCCACAAGCCTCTGTCCCTCGGGATTGCCGTGGTACCACTCAATGAGGAGAAGAGCAAACTTGCCCAAAGAGAGGGCAAAGCAGAACGAGACGGCACCGGTCAGAAGCACGACGAAGAGCTTGGCCGCTGTCGACAATGTCCGAAGGGATTTCTCGTACACGAACATCCATGCCAGGATGACGTCGAGCGCGACGGTCATGCAACCCACCAAGCATATGAACACACGCCTACTGCACTCGACGGGCTCCGCCTCTGCCGCCGTCGTGCTGCCGTCTAGATTCAGCTGAACGTCGGCCATGTCCTGGTCTCGTGTCCGACCGGCCCGTGTGATTTCGACTGTCGGTGCTGAGGCATGTTGTATATGTTGACTGTTTGTACACGTTACTCCTTGTCCCAGTCTTTAGGATCTTACAGTTAGACGACGGCTGCGTGCCTTATTCTTAGGGACTCTTGTGATGGCTGATCAACTTATCCCAATACGGCAATACCTGAGTCAATTTCCTCGGTGTTGGAATCAAACAAGACGTGCATGTGTCCGTGCTGGTTTTGGTAGCCATCCCCAACAAGGAGAAGTATTGGCTTGGTACCACGAGTTGAAGGAATAAATGACTTTTCGCGTAAATTTATCTCCACAGCTGTAGATCCCACGAAAGTACATACACCAACGTACTTTTTACACGATTGCCCCAAGAATCCATGTGGTAATTGCTAATGTTTTGAATTTTTTTCTTCACAATATATAGTGCTTTTACTCTATTTTCTTCAAAGTTGTGGGGTCAGCTGGTCCCACAGCCAACACATAGAATCGTCACTGCACACATGCATGGCCGACGTCGTCGAGGATCCTAAGGTGGTGGTGGCGCCGGAGCATGCCCAATGGTCCAGGCGCTTGTTCATCTACATGCCGGGTTTCTTCTTCACCGCACTCATCAATGTCCCCAAATTCTTGATGGGCCTCAGGTTTATTACCCGCCGGTGAAGTTGGCCCCTGCCTTCGTCGTGGGTCTACTTGGCCCTCTTCCTCGGATGCTGGATTGGCTTCTACTCCTTGGGGGGTTTCCTGGAGGGACAGAGGATGGTGGACAACTTCCTTCAAGGTGACCCACCTTCTGTGATGGAATGTGTGCTCCAGGCTTTGCTTCATATAGAGATGCAACAAAATTAAAGTGATGTGTGTGCTACATATTTAGAAGCAAGTGAGACCGATGTTCTTAGTAGTTTCCACCCTCCTTATTTGAATGTAACTTTATCTTTTTGTGTCGGCCACCTTTCATTCAATTTGTAATTTGTTTATGTTCCACAAGACACTTTTTGTTTTGGTGTGCTCAGCACCTCCAGAATGTGATCTTTGGCTATGGGTGTTTGAGTTTCCTTTTTCCGCCAAAATTTTTGTTCAACCCTATAGGACCTTGTGATCATCGTATTCATGTTCTAAGGAGAAAGAGGGAACCACACCATGCTACTAAGGACAGTGGCGAAGACAGGGGACCAGC